CGCAGTGTAATTCACGATAGCCAAGGGGCACGAACCACCTAAGCACCCATCAGTGCATGAATGATACACAAAACGTGGTTTAAACACACAGTGATAATATTCAGCATAAAAAAGAAAAAATTCTGACAAGTGCTACAATGTAGATGAATCTGGAGACATGCTGAGTGACACAGCAGGCGCCAAAAGACCAGTGCTGTGTGATCCCATGGCTTAGGAACGGGAGTAGAGTGTGGTTGCCGGGGTCGGGGAAGGGGAAATGGGGACTCACTGTTCAATAGCTACTTGTTCTTGGTTTCAGAAATAAACAGGTTCTCAAGATCTGCTATACAACCTTGTGCAGGAGGAAACACTACCGAACTCTGTAATTAAAAACAGTTATGATGAGGCCAGCAGGTGGCCTGGTGGTTAAGGCGCTGCACCCCGCCTGGCCTGCAATGTGACCGGTAATTACTGTCTGTCCCTGTACAAAGAAAGCTTGCGGGGGCTAGCCAGGGGCATGGTGGTGGGCAGTACGGCCGCATCTCACAGAGCCGACTGCATGCTTGGAGTCCAGGACACGGTGGGTTGAAAGTCACGCCAGAACATGTGCGTTTGTACCCAAAATCCCGAAAGGAGGGAGAGCTGGAGGAGAGGGGATTGCGGTGTGACCGAGCCTCATGGAGGGTGCTTATTCACCGCCTCCCCCCCACACCTCTCTGGCAAACATTTAAAAAGAAAAGGAAAGCAAAGAAAGCTTGTCCACCCCTGCTCTAAAACGTAGGCCATGTCACCACTGAACTCAGGGACTGGAACACACCGGCACGCAGTAGGTGCTCACAGAGCACCTATCTGTACGAAGTGTGACAAACGCCTACTTCAAGTCATCATTAGAGAGGTTTCCCTCCTTTTGCTGTTGAACATGCCTAAACAATACTAGAAGGAAAGCACGAATCCCAGAAATCAAGTCTAATACACACCTCAACAGAGTCGGCCCTGGAGGTCCCTAGTAAATCCTCGTGAAAGAGAAGCACCATGGTTAACCAAAAAGATGCTGGACTTGGAACAGTGCAAGTCCTATCTGCCGGTGACTAGTCGGGAGATCCCGACATGGAGGGTTCTCAGCAGGCGAAGTGCAAACACCACTACTAAGTTCTGGTGGGAAAACGCAGCTCCCGCCGGACTGGAATAGGACAGGACTGGACTCAGAGACACCAGTATTGGGCAGGCACTTAGCCCGGTTGTTAGAAATAACGAGACAATGTATCTTCAGGTGTTTGGAGACTCATTATTTTTACATAAAATAAGCCCGGGAAAGGATGTTCCAGGGAACTCGCTACATCGTAATGATTTGTTTCCTTGACTCTCACTGAACCGCAGTCCTAATGAACCGAAAACCGCAGCTCCGGGCTACCTGTCACGGTACCTCCCGTCTCTTCTGCAGTACGAAGAGTGATGCGGGACCCAGGATAGGCACACTCACATTCCTAGGTGCACAGATGAATGTGGAATGAGATTTGGCAGGTCTGAGGTCATGTACCACATCAGAAAAGAGTCAGGGAGGCTGAGATTTAATGTGCAACTAGCAAGGCGGAGGGTTGGGAGGCGGGAGTGGGTGGAGAAGCGAGACTTGTCCTTGCCCTCGCTGGTAAGTACAGGGTGGGTTCGCTCATTCCTCGCTCTGGGCAGGCCTCCGGGAGGGTCTGCCGCCTGCTCTCCTGCTTGCTCCTTCCGGGACACGCCTCCCCTGGCCCTGGCCCCTTCCTTGTCTGCACCTCTTCAAAGCTGGAATTCCACCCCAGCAACTTCTCTCTGCACCCCACGTTCTTGTCCAGCTTCAAAGCTTCAACTGATGTTTAAAATAATCACACGATTCTTGAATCCGAATTTCTGCTCTGATCTCCTTCCCTCTGGTGCTGCCTGCAGCCGGGCCCCCCGGGAACATCCACCGCTGGCCCGAATCCGCATGCCGGGAGAGGGCTCAACTTCTCTCCCCGGGCATGTCCTCCGGAGCCTGGTCTTCTCCCCTGGCGGCACTGCTGGCACCCGGGGGGAGGCGGAGGAGAGCTCACCCTCCCGCCCAAGTCCATGGTTCCATCGCCTCCTGCCTACCGCCACCCACACCATCGAATCCATCTACCCCTCCACAGGCCCCCGACTCTCCCCTAGTTCCGGCCAGCCTCCTCTCCAGCCTGCATCATCAGCCCAAGCGCCCAAAGGGCCTTCCTGACTCCAGCCTCATACTGTTCCAATTCGCTACAGCTGTAAACCAGAAATCAGATCACATCGCATTTTCTTTGAAAGCCATTACAGGGGAGCAGCAGATGGCGAAATGGTGACGTCGCTGCAGTCACACATAGTCAACCCTGGTTTGAGTGTGGACCTGGTGACTTAGAACTCATGACAGGCACATGTGCATGAGTGCTCAAAATCCCGAGAGGACACTGGAGGAGAAGGGACTGCAACGTGGCCACCCCCCAGGGGGTGATTTCTCACTTTCTTTCTCTCTGGAGAGCGCGTGTGCCCTATAGCAAAGTTCTCTCAAAAAAGAAAAAGAAAAAGAAAGAAAGAAAGAAAGAAAGAAAGAAAGAAAGAAAGAAAGAAAGAAAGAAAGAAAGAAAGAAAGGGAAGGCATTACAGGGGTCAGCATGTGGCATGGTGATTAAGCACTGGACACCCACGCTGACCATGGTTCGAGTCCTGGACCTAACAGCTTGAATGAAACACATGCCAGGCGCATGTGTGTGCATGCCCCAGATCATGAGAGGATAAGAGAGAAGGGATTGTGGTGTGGCCATTCCCCCCAGGGGGTGATTTCTCTCTTTCTATCTCTCATCTTTCTCTGTCTCTGGCAAATGCATGTGCTCTATAGCAAAAATCTCTCTTAAAAAAAAAAAAAAAAAACCCAAAACAAAAAAGGCGTTACGAGCTTCCCACAGCTCGGCTTGGTGGTGAACTGCGCTTCTACTACAATGGCTGCTTGCTCCGTGCGGCTGCCGAGCCTGAAATACTCATGGTGCTAAATACACACCAGGCCGATAAAAAAAGACAGCCCAAAAATAGCATGCGCATAGTCATTTATCTTGATTGTGTGTTAAAACCATGATTTTTTGAATATATCAGGTTGTCCGAAAAGTCATAACGCATTTTTGCATAGAAAAAAATACATTTTGACTTTTCTGACAACCCAATATAATGTTAAATGAAATAGATTTTAAAATTAATTTCACCTGTTTCTTTTAAAACTTTTTTTCCTGTATTTTGCCAGAGGGCATCCATACTCACTGGAGACAGAGCGAGAGAAAGCGAGAAAGCACCCTTCATGGGGCACGGTCATGCCGGCAAGCACATGCACCCTAGTAAAAATCTCTCTAAAAAAAAAAAGGGACCAGCAGTTAGCGTAATGACTATGTCGCTGAACTCCCATGTAGCTGACCGCGGTTCGTGTCCTGGACCCGGTACCTGGTGGCTTAAACTCACTCCGGGCGGGTGTGTGTGCGTGCCCAACCACTGGACCATGGGGAAACACACGGCCATGGCAGCAGCGTCTGTGACAGTGGTTTGGAGAGGAGAATGGAGGAGGGGGATTGCTGCGTGGCCATCTCCCCCGGGGGATGATTTCTCGCTTTCTGTCTCTCTGTCTCTCTCTGTATTTCTGGCGAGCGCACACGCCCTATAGCAAGAACCTCTAAAAAGAAAAAAAAAAAGCTGAGATTACACAGGCGGCTCTGGGTGTACGCTACTGCACGGCAGCGGTGTGGAAAGCCTGTGACCGTTGACGATGGCTTACCTTCAACCTTCTGCCTCCCACTTCCTTCCCCATGGCCTCCTCCCCCACGCTCGGCTCTGGCCTTAACCGCAGGCTCTGGAATGGGTCAATCGTGTGCTAGTCTTTGGATAAGGACACTCTTCCTGTTGGCATCTACTGGTCTCCTGGGTTCTGCCATGGCCGGGAAGATTTCCTGACCACCAAGGCTGTCTGTTGCCCCCACGGCCTGCTCCTTGCTCCTGTCACAAACCCCTGGTTGGCGTCTGACTCCCCTCCTGGGTTTCGATCCCTGCTCTTGCCCACTACTGGTCCCCGCCGCAGTGAAGGCTGAGTTTCAGGCCTTGGGATGCACAACCAATGAATAAACAGAAATGCAACTGGCACACACTTCCAGTCTAGGAAGGTGAATAATAAAAGGTGGACTTGGATGGAACCTTTAAAAAGTGCCAACTAAAAGGGAGAGAAATACCAGGAAGCACAGCTCTAAATTTGGAGAGCAAATGGGCGACATTTTTAAAAACTGTATTAGCCAACTGAAACTGGCTAGGCAATTCTGGGCCTGGATTTGAACCACTGGACCATGGGGAAACACACGGCCATGGCAGCAGCGTCTGTGACAGTGGTTTGGAAAAAGTCCGAGCAGTCTGTCGTCCACAGTCAGGGCTGTAAGTTATTCCTTCAGCGGGAGAAAAGCACACCGCTGTGAAAAAGAAGGGTGCGGCCTCCACGTGCCAACAAAGAAACATTTCCAGGATCTCCCTGCGTATTTCTGAGTCCTGCACTTGCTGTATCTCTGCACGACTTTTACAGAAACCGAAGAGCAGGCATGTGCATGAGGTCATGTGGTCCTGGAGGGGGAGAGGGGCCAGGGCGAGGACAGGATGGTCTTAACTGCAGATTTTTTTTAAAGATGTTATTGAATGTCATTTTATTTATTTGTTTGTTTAGATCTGACCAGGGAAGGACAGAGTGAGAGAGAGAGAGAGAGAGAGTGGCCACCAGCTCTGGGACTCGAACCATGGTTGGCCATGTGGGAGTCCAGCGCCCTTAGTCACCATACCACCTACTGGGCCCTTAACTGTAGACCTTTGAACGTGCTGATCACATGCACAAATCACTTTCATTATTATTTTTTAAATACTGATGAGGGCTTTCTGGGTGCTCCTTTTCTCTCTGTTTGGCCCAGCAAAGGCCCCAATGATGTCCCCTCTCCGACAGAGCAGAGGAATAGCAACACGAAGCCGACGTCACTCACCGTGATCTTTTTGTGGTCAGGGAACTCGAGGCCGAAATAGTCGCCCTCCACGAGGTTGAGGTGGTTGCAGACGGCATCCAGAAGCACCTTCCCTGGAGCTCTTTGCTGTGAACGGAAACGACAAGGGTGAGGTCTCGGAGCCAGGCAGGGGGAACACCAACCATGCTCCCAGCTGCAAGAGGCCTATCGATTCCTGGGTCTGCAGAGTCTCACAGCCCGCCACCAAGCATGCCCACGACACTCGGCCCCAGCTCTGTCCACACCTCTGCTTCTGCTGTCCCCAAACTTAGGTGGGACTCTGCTGTGTCATCCCACCCCGTCCCGGGCATGCCCCCACTTTCTAACAAGGGACTTTATTATTGCTACTTTTTCTTCATTTGTCAGAGGGCCTGTGCACTCACGGGAAACAGGCAGAGAGAGACAGAGTGAGAAGCGTCCCTCTCCCTCCCCGTGTGGGAAGTGGTCACATCTCAATCCCTTCCACCTTTCTCCTCTCAGGATTTTGGGCTCGTGCATACACGTCTGGCATGTTTCTCAAGCTTCCAGATCCACAGGTGGCCACGTGGCATCCAGTCACCCCAACCACCTGACAACTGGCTGGCTTAGCAGACTTTATTTTTTTTATTTAAAAAATTTTTTTAGAGGTATTTGCTACAGGGCACGTGCGCTCGCCAGACAGACAGAGAGAGACAGAGAGACAGAAAGTGAGAAATCACTCCCCCCCAGGGGGGATGGCCATGCTGCAATTCCTTCTCCTCCATTCTCCTCTTGGGATCTTGGGTACGCACGCACACGCGCCTGGTCTGAGTTTAAGTCATCGGGTCTGGGACTCGAACTGCGGTCAACTACATGAGAGTCCAGCGACATAGCCATTACGCTAACTGCTGGTCCCCAGACTTTATTTTTGAAGCATTTTTAGGTTTAAGAAACTTGAACAAAACCTACAGTCCCCACAGACTTTCCATATATGTCCCCTCCCCACCCCTATGCATCCTCTGGTGCTAACATTCGTGGGAGGGCACATTCGCTAATGGACAGCCACTGTCACTCAACGCCACGGTTCACTTTAGGGCTCACTCTTAGTGCTGAAAGTTCTTCGGGTAGGGACTAGTGTCTAGAGCCACTATCGACGATTATGGGCTCATCCGCCAAAGTTTCACCTTAAAATCTGTCAGTACATCACCTGTTCCTCCCTCCTTCCCTCCCTTCCTCCCTCCCGATCCCAGAAACCACTGCTTGTCTTACTGTCTCTAAAGCCTTCGTTTTCCAGAGCGTCACATAACATGCAGCCTTTCAGACTGGCTTCTTCCACGGAGTGATATGTATTTAAGGTTCCTGCAGGACTTTTCATGGCCTGATAGTGCCTTTTTACATATTTTTTTTATTATTTTTTTTTAATCACTGATGAACATTCCATTGTCTGGACAGGCCACCTTTTGGTTATTCATTAGCCAACTAAAGGACACCTTGGTTGCGTCCAAGTTCTGGCCATTATGAACAGAACCTACTAGAAATATGCGTGTACTACAGTGGTGCAGCTTGTGTCTCTGGCATCTTTTGTGACAGGGCCTGGCCTGGGCCTGGGCCTCCCTCCTCTTCCACAACATGACGGGCCTGACACTTTCCTTTCCAGGCTCCCCCAGCACCTCCTGCAGGGTCTCACCTGGACCCCAGTCACCTGGAGGGGAAGGCTGCATTTTAGTCATCCCCGGGCCAGGGTGCCTCAGGACCCACTCAACTTTTTCTATCTTCCTTTACTTTTTAATATTTTTGCCATACAGTGCATGCACTCACGGGAGAGATGCAGAGAGAGGGAAAGTGAGAAATCACTCCCTGGGGGATGGCCACGGTGCGGTCCCTTCTCCTCCGTTCTGCTCTTGAGATTTTGGACACATACGCACAGGTACCTGTGTGTTTTTCAAGCCACCAGGTCTGGGACTTGAGCCGTTGGGTTGGGCATGTGGGATCCAGTGCTTTAACCTATAACCACTACACCACCTACAGGCCCTATCCCACCAGTTTTCTTTCTTTCTTCCTTTCTTTTTTTTTTTTTTTTTTGAGGTTTTTGCTACAGGGCACGTGTGCACGCTGGAAAGACAGAAAGAGACAGAGAGACAGAAAGCGAGAAATCACCCCCAGGGGGGATGGCCATGTCGCAATCCCTTCTCCTCCATTCTCCTCTCGGGATCTTGGGCATGCACACATACGCGCCTGGTGTGAGTTTAAGCCACTGAGTTCAGGATTCGAACCATAGTCGACTACATGGGAGTCCAGGGACATAGCCATTACACTACCTGCTGGTCCCCCCACCAGTTTTCTTGAAATAAATGAATGACCAAGTGAATAAGTTACTCATCCCACAGTATGACTGTAGCTAAATACCTATGAGTCTCTGTCTCCAGGACATTTCAGAATTTATTCTCCCATATATTCCTACTGCCCAGCCAAACGCTCAGTCAGGATCTGCTAAAGTTAATATGACCCCTGTGCTTCCTAGCCAGTGACTGTGAAAGGGAAAGGGAATATTAGAACCCAGTGTCTGCCCAAAACAGCTGAGAATGACCTGCCTCTGTTTCTCGTCACCAACTGGCATGGAGAACGGATCAAACTCCACCAAATATGGGTCATCTATAAAGTCATGATGTATTTTTCTATGCAAAAATGTGTCATGACTTTTCTGAGGACCCAAGAGATCAAGCACTGGAAGAAAAATGTTTCAGAGACACCTCAATCTATAGCTTCTGTTTGTCCCCTCACCTATCCTTGGATGACAGCAGAGCATGGAGGAGCCAGGGAACTGGTTACCCGGGACACTGACAGAGTAAGAGCTGGAGGCTGAGTCCCATGGTGGGCAGGACCATCAGCCCGGTTCAGAGGGTTCAGAGCGAGCACAGAGGCCAATCAATAAACATGCCTGAGGCCGGGCTTCATTGGCGTGGTCTGGAGGCCACTGCTTGGAGGCTGAGGCCACGCAGGAGGCCTGGGCTCGATCCCCAGACAGGTCAACGAAGCAGGGCACAGTGGCACAAGCCACAGTCCCAGCTACTCAGGAGGATAAAGCAGGAATTTTCAACACTAAGCACCTTTTCTCCTCTTTTTAAAGTGTATGTATTTATTTCTTCCAGGAGAGACAGAGAGATAGAGAGAAAGGAAGAGAGAGAGACAGAGAGGAAGCACCCTGGGAGGGTCCTCGCTTCATACTTCACCCTGTCTCAGCCAGCTAGGATCACAGGTGTCCAGACCCTGCAAACTGAGGAGGCCTCAGGATGCGAACCCAGGACCTTTCCTACACAGTCTCACGCCCTTAAACAGATGACACATTAAACTCCCACACGTGCCCTTGCGGACATCCAGAGACCCTCAGAGCTACCCAAAGGGACGCACCACTCTCCACAGAAAATAACAAATCCAGCGGGTTGCCAACCGTGAAAGCCTCATCCAGGGTCACTGCAGAGCTGTTTTTCCTACACCGACGGGCGGGGTAACAGGTGGCCACAGGCGAACGTCCCACCCCACTCCCAACACCCCCAGAAGAAGAGACCAGAGGAGTGGCGTGCCCTCCTGGTTACTTATTTTCCAGCCTTGGGACAGCCACCTGCCCTGTTTCCCACACACTGTGTGTGCATATTCCCTGGCTAGGCTGACACAGGGGAGGGCGAGCTGCTCCACACTCATTACCCCCAGTCCTGGATTCGGGTCCTCACACCAGTCTCCAAAGAGCTACATGCATTGCATGTGCATAGCCATGTGTTTTGGGATGCCTCTCACTAAAGTAAAATCACTCCAGTGCCATCTGCAGTCATCACAGGGGACAAGGAGTTGTGTTAGAACTCCCTTACCAGAGAGTTTCTAAAGAGACAGAAAGCGAGAAATCATCCCCTGGGGGCATGGCCACACCGCAGTCCCTTCTCCTCCTCCTCCATTCTCCTCCTGGGATTTTGAGCACGCACGCGCACACACATGGTTGCCAGGCCTGGGACGTGAACCACAATAGACTATGTGGGAGTCCAGCGACATAACCATTGCATCACCTGTAGTCCCACCATGAGAGCTTTCGAAGGGAAGACCACATTCTGGCTTCTCAATCCTTTCTCACAATGCTCGACATTTCCTCCTCAAGAGCAAAACGAAACACGATTATCTGCCCAGCTGGCAGGCACTCGCGGTTCCCAAAGAATTCCTGGAACTAAGGGAACTTGATCGGCTCATCGAGATTTACAGAGTCTGGGAAAGGAGACTTAACAGTTCAACACTGGAAATCTAAACAGTGAAAAAAGGATCAATACACAACGGATGTCTTTATGGACATGGTGTTAAAATGAACACTTCCAGGAGAGGAAGGGGGCAGTGAACATCCAACCTGGGTCCTGGACGGAGCCTGCAGGGCCTCTGTGAGCTCATGGGATGTAGCTTGCTAACAGTACGAGTCTGTGCTGTGCCCTCAAGCCTGCACCATCCCCTCTGCACATCAAATATTATTTACTAGGACACTGGGAAGTTGCGATGTATTTTTCTATGCAAAAATGCATCCTAACTTTCCCGACAACCCAATATGTTCTGTCAGAAATGGCTGTGGCAAATGACTGATTCCCTGCAGAAAGATAGGTTTGAAATAGACGCTAGAATCCAGCTTATTCACGACACAGCTTAACATTTTCCTTAAAGGAGGTTATTTCAGTCAGATGTTTATAGAAAATGACTTTTCTACGGCACCAACATGTTTTCTATAGGGAATCAGCTTAGAGTTCGACCATCTTTATAGATCCCAAAATTCATCTATAAAATAGATGCCCAGAAAGCATTGCTGAATTCCGCCATGAGCACTGGCTATGTCCAGAGATACAGGAGAATCCAGTAATACTGCAAGGTACTCGTAATGCGTTCGAGTACTCATTTCATGACAATGTTATGGGAAAATGAGATGATGACAAAGGAGTGTCTTTTTCTTTATTTTTATATATATTTTTGTAATTTGCTATAGGACACATGCACTCACCAGAGAATGAGAGCCAGAGAAAGAGAAAGCAAGAAACCACTCCACAGGGGTGATGGCCACGCTGCAACCCCTTCTCCTTCATTATTCTCTCGTGATTTTGGGTACACAT